CCACGCCACCCTCGCAGGCCTGTGTGTGTCTTGGCTTTTCTCTCGATTTTCCCTCACCTCATGGCTTATCTATCTATGAAAAGCTTGATTCAGGAAAAAATGTGTTTAACCAAACCAAATTTATCATTTAATGAGCTGCTGTGAGAACTGAAAAGAGAATTCAGAAAAAGGGGCATTTGCTGTGGTGTCCTGTTGGGCACTAGGGCATCTCCACCTGTTGGCTCTTGAGGTGGGCGTGTGGGAGGTGGGGTGGACCTGGCAGCAGAGAGCAGGGCTCAAGGGCAGCGGTGGTTTCTGATGTGAAGGGTTCTGGATGGACTTGGCTGTTTTGCATTTTAAACAGGGATTATAGAAGACTGCTGATACTTATAAATGTTTCCAGAAAAAAAAAAAAGAGTCAGAAACTCCATCTCTACAGCTCCTTTTTCTCTAGAAACACCGTGGTGCGCGGGGTGACATCTTCTGGAAACCCCGACCCTCCTGCTCAGCCTGCCCTGCTCGGAGTCTCAGTGGTTGTCTTGAGAATCCCGATCACCTCCGTGATCTGCAGTTAGTCTGTGGCACCTAATTGGACTTTAATTTGTGTAAATGTTAGCTTCCATTTGTTCATTCATATTTTTCAACTAATTCACTATTTATTGAGCAGCTGCCAATCTGTCATCCCCTTGGGCACTTCCTATTGAATCAGATACACTGGGGCCCTGCCTGCCCTCAGGGAGCGAGATGATGAATTCCTGATGGGCAGTGTCCTCTGTCACACAGAGCATCCGGCCCAGTTCTCACAGCGCTCTGGTTTGCCACAGTGTTGAAAGTATGAGGGCTCTTGGGAGGCAGAGCCCTTGTGTGGCTCAGCTGTGGTCAGTGTGAGGATTGCCCTGGGTGGTGACACGGCCAGGAGGTCTGCCCAGGGCCTCTCAGCTGGAGTCACTCTTTGTCTACTGAGAAACCATGTTCTCATCAGTGAAAGGCACTGGTGTGCTGTCTGTTCTCTCTCTCTCTCTCTCTCTCTCTCTCTCTCTCATACACACACATACACACACATACACACATCTTTTTAAAAATCACCGAAGCTCCCAAGTCTTGGGTCCTTTTGTATTGATTTAATTAAAGAAGCAGTAATTGTTTTAATGAACTCTTGAAACAATTGCTTTTGAAGAGCAAAGGATCAAACTCTTGACTACTTTTTGTCACAGTGTATTCTGAAAGCGGAATTGACGTTTTCTGAAGCATTAGGAATAGTGAGAGTTTTTGTTTGGCTTTTTTGAGACAGAGTCTCACTCTGTCACTCTGGTTAGAGTACCGTGGCCTCAGCCTAGCTCACAACAGCTGCAAACTCCTAGGCTCAAGCAATCCTCTTGCCTCAGCCTCCAGAGTAGCTGGGACTACAGGCACCCACCACAGTGCCCAGCTAGGTTTTTCTATTTTTAGTAAAGAAGGGGCCTTGCTCTTGTTTAGACTGGTCTCAAACGCCTAATGTGAAAGGATTCTTTCACCTTGGTCTCCCAGAGTGCTAGGATTGTAGGCTTGAGACACTGTGCCCAGCCTGTACCACCATTCTGACAGGCTGGGCTGCCAGCCTCCCTGGGCACTGACCAGTATGTATTTTTAACCAAGTTGGATTGCACACACTGAATGAACACTTCACGCCAAGGAAGGCATGGCTTGTTTGGGAAATGAGTTTAAAAGACTTGCTCAATTACATAAGTGATTTGTGCTTTCTGAAAACATGGTCTAAAACGCAGAGACCCTTGAAGCCACACTGGTCCGTGCCCTGTGTTCTTGACTTCAGGACACCCTCTGGTGCTATGATTCAGTGGGTCATGGGACAGTCAGGAGGAGTGACTTGGCTGGCAGGGGAGGAAACCTCCCAGGAGTCTTTATTTTATTTTTGAGATAGTCTTTGTCTGTCACTCAGGCTAGAGTGCTGTGGTGTCATAGCTCACAGCAACCTCAAATCCTTGGGCTCAAGTGATCCCCCTACCTCAGTCTCCCATGTAGCTGGGAGTACAAGCGCCCAGAACAATCCTTGGCTAGTTTTTCTATCAGAGATAGAATCTTGCTCTTGCTCAGGCTTGTCTCAAACTCCTGAGCTCAAGCAATCCACTCGCCTTGTCCTCACAGAGCTCTAGGATTACAGATGAGAGCCACCACACAGACCCATGAGTCTTTAAGTTAAGCAGGAAAAAAAAAGTCATGAAGGAAAGTGGATCTTGGAAACATTTTGAATGAAGAGAGAGCTTACTGAGGCATATGTTGGGTGTATGGTGTGATGGGGGAGTTCTAGCATGTACAGAGATGTAGGGTTTGGGAGGGGTGTGATGCATTTTCTTATGAGGAGTGAGTGGTGTACCAAGAAATGGGTACATGTGGCTGGAGAGGGTCCTGTTCCCTGACTCCTGGGAAGGCCCCAGGGTTTGTTCCTTAGGAGGCTTCTCCTAATAGCAGGTAACCCTCTGTGGCGCTGCTCTGTGCCAGCTACGAAAGGAACAGAGCAGGATGGAAAATGTTTAGAGTGGGAAGGGAAACCCCAGGCTGAAATTAGCCTCTGGTTTTAGTATATCTTGAAGAATTCCTAAAAAGGTCATAGAATAAGACATAAAAAAGGAAGTGTCAGAGAGATGAGCAACTTACTGCTCACAGAATTTATCTTGTGCCTACTGCCAGGCATCTTGCCACTGGTTTTTAACCACAGCAACACAACAGAATCACCATGGGTAGGTGGGGAGGCAAAGAAATTAGCGTGATTCATACACATTCTGATTCATTCTATCCTGTAGGCCAGGACTGTGGCTCACACCTGTAATCTCAGCACTCTGGGAAGCCAAGGTAGGAGTATCCCTTGACTTTAGGAGTTTGAGACCAGCCTGAACAAAAGCAAGACCCCATTTCTAATATAAATGGAAAAAAAAAAAAGAAAAAACAAGCTGGGCATTGTGGTAGGCACCTGTGGTCCTAGCTACTTGGGAGTCTGAGGCAGGAGGATTGTTTGAGCCCAGGAGTTTGAGGTTGTTGTGATACTGGCTGAGGCCATAGGACTGTAGCCTGGGCAATAGAGTGACACACTGTCTTAAAGCAACGACAACGGGTGGCGCCTGTGGCTTGAGTGAGGCACTGGCCCCATATGCTGGAGGTGGTGGGTTCAAACCCAGCCCCAGCCAAAAACTGCAAAAAAAGAAAAAAAAAGACTTAAAGCAACAACAACAACAACAAAACACAATCTATTTCTGTAGAAACTGAGTTGTGTTTTAGCCCCAAGGAAGATGACATTGTCTGGAGTGAGTACATTGGCATTTAAGAGGTTGAGTGGATACTGTTCGGTCCCCTGGCATTGTATTTTACAAATTATCTCTCCAGAAAACTGTAGAAATGGCCAAAAAGTTTTCAGGCTCTCACTAAGCAAGTGCGATCTACATTTGTCACGAGTTCTAGACAATTCTTCAACAGTGCACACATGGTGGTTTTAAATTTATCTTTGTTATAAAAAATTCATTTTAAGTTCTGTTTCACAGAAAGATTTTATGTTAAATTATTCTCGTTCACTTCTCTTTTTTTTGAATGAATGAATGTCATATGCCTTTGCTAAAGGAGCTCAGTTAAGAAAGCAAAAAAAAAAAAAAAAAAAGACCACCCTCCCAACTTTGGGGTTGTACAATAACACATTCCCAAGAAGAGGGAACAAGCTGCCGGGGACAACATGCCTTTCTCCTGCCATAAAGAGTATTTGTTTTTAATATGAATCTATAATATAATTTCTGTTATGTGTGCTGCTGTTTCATAACTGCTCTCCTTCACGTTTCAGAAAATGAATACCATTCATGAGCATGAATCACAACCCGTTACCTCAGTGTGGATTTGAAATTGGGGGTAGCCCTGGGCCTCACTTCTCTGGGGGTGAATTATGACCCTGTAGTCACCGTGGCCGTGGCCGTGTGTCTCTGGGCAGAGATTGGGTGGACTGGAGGGATCAGAGGCAGCGCTTCATTCTCAGGCTTTAATATTTTAATGAGCCTGCAGGCTTGGCTGCTTTGGAAGGAGCTGGGATGTCTAAGTGTGTTGTAGTGTTAGCACTTGTGGAGGGAGGTTCATTAGGGGGCTCGCCTCTCAGTTTTTCAGAGAAACTCCCCATTAAGAAAGATCTTTCAGCAGCATGGCTAGCAAGATGGAGAAGGGGGAGGAGGGAAGCTTTTAGCTGTGAGCACTGAGGGGATATTGTATCAGTCGTCTTAGTTCTAAAGATTTGCTTCTAAGAATTAATTGGACCAAATACATCTCAAGGGAGGGAAAGAAAAGCTTGGTGGAGGGAGGACGCTAGCTGTTGCCCTTGCAAGCAGAGGACTCTCACTCTGCAGCTGAATCAATACTACAACTAATTATTTCTGGTTATCTTTTATGGGTTTGTAAGACATTTCTTTTGTTCAGTGTAATAAAAAACCCATTGTTTGATCAGTGACTGACTAATTATGATAAGTAATTTGAAACATTCTTGATGAAACTTGTCTGTTAATTAACATCAACAGCAAATGGAAACTAGCAGGACAACAATGTATTAGTGGATTCACTGTTCCCTGGAATCGATGAGGTCTTTCTGAGGCATGCCCAATAAACTACCACTGCCAATGGTTAAAAAATAACAAACATGTGGGAAGCTCTGACTCATGATGGAGGAAAGGTTCTTGCAGAGTTACACAAAGGAGCGCTGGAATAGCACAAGTCAAGAGGTGGTGAAGAAATGCCAGCAGGTTGCAGGTCCTGTGGCTTAGAGTAAACAGAGGGCTTTCTTTCTTTTTTTTTTTTTTTTTTTTTTCCTTTAAAGCTTAATTCCAAAATATTTTCATTCCATGTTGATCTGAACTAAGAGACTTTTGATAAATAGCAGTGTGGATCTGAAACTAGTTGGGGAGCAGGGTCATTGTCTGGCTATTTTCGAAGTATAATTAATACTGTTAACGTGTATCAACTCAATGGCTATTTTATTTTATTTTATTTTTTCATGTTTTTAGATTTCTACCTGGACAAGGCCTGGTACTATACCCACAGATAGGAGACAAATTGGATATTATTTGCCCCAAAGTGGACTCTAAAACTGTTGGCCAGTATGAATATTATAAAGTTTATATGGTTGATAAAGACCAAGCAGACAGATGCACCATTAAGAAGGAAAACACCCCTCTTCTCAACTGTGCCAGACCAGACCAAGATGTCAAATTCACTATCAAGTTTCAAGAATTCAGCCCTAACCTCTGGGGTCTAGAATTTCAGAAGAACAAAGATTATTACATTATATGTAAGTATAATTCGACTCATTTATTTTTTAGAAATTAGTGTAAGCTAAATAGGTTTGTATCGATTTTTGTTTCCTTAACATTGTTGTGGCAAATACTTTGGTGAGAATCTTTGCTGAACAGTTATCTGCTTTTTTTCAAAGAAGCTCTAGTTGAATTTGGGACCCTGTGCTAACAGTATTCATTAAATACCCAAAGAGAAAAAAAAAAAAAAAACTTCCTAGAATTCTTATAGCATTGAGCAAATGTATTAAATAAATGTATTTGGCATCTCTACTGACAAAACGTTGCCAAGGACCATTGGTGAGATTTTGATAGGTAAATCTTGTGCAATGCCTTTTCTCTTCATCCGTTCATCCACCCATCCACTCATTCATTAAGTATTTATTCTGCGTCAGAGACTGTGCGTAGGTGCTAGAAATTCAGCAGGGAACAAAGTGCTATGAGATAAGATGGTAGCTTTCCTCATGACGTTAACCTTCCAGAGAAGGTGGAGCTCGTAATTGGAAGGATGAGCATCACAAGCAAAGCACAGTGGTCGTATTAAAACCAGATTTGGAAGAATAAGACAAAAAGTTGGTTTGCTCAGTGGATTACTCTTTTGTATATATATATGAGTGTGCACTTATGGGTGGGTGTGTGTGTATAAAATAATCTGACACATTGCTTCAGGAGTAGATTTTATGTATCCTTTGGGTCATACCTGAAGTCGCTCATGAGGCTGTGAAGTCCCCTGAGCAGCTCACCCACCTGAGCAGGTGTCCACTAGGCACAAATTACCTGTGAGCACAAGCGGGGGCCATTCCACGGCCCTGAGTTTTATCAGAGTCTGGGTGACTGAGACAACTTCTCAAATCATTCAGCAATGAAATCATTTTTCTTAATTTCTTTGCTTTAAAGTTATACCTACAACGGGGTTGAATTCCCCATTCAGGCTTGGCCGGGACTTCAGGTCGTGAGGGGACCACTGTCTGTGGCTGGGCTCCCACCTCTTGGTAACTGGGTTGAAACTCTGGCTTCTCAACCTACAAGCTGCACTTTGAAGCACAGAATCAATAGTCGGCCCAATACTTATCTAGTGCTCGATAATATGTGTTTTTTAAAACATGAGTAATTAAGACGAAGACGGTCATAGACCCCTAATTATCTTGGTGTCTGTTGCTGTGAACCTGAAATGCCGCAGAGACCGAAACACCTGTTTGTAAAGCCAACGTGACATGTAGAGTAGCTTACCAAGAATGAGTAACAAAGAAAAAGAGAAAGTGGAAAATTATATATTTAACGGAAGTGTTATCAAAAAAGGAGAATAAAAGCAATTATTTTTCTTTATTTGAAAACTCTTCATATCAAATTTACAGGTTCATCGCAGTTAGTCGAGCTGCTCTGACCTCCAGAACTCTCCATGCAATTAACCTTTCTGGTGCAGAAGTGCGTGGTAGCCTGGTATCAAGCAGTCTTTCTCAATCAGAGTTGAGGATGTCAAGTTTGAAACAGTGAAGGGCGGTTTGAGTGTTGCTGGTTGAGAGATTGTCACAGGTCTGAGTAAAGGACCCAAGGCTCAGAAATTTTCCAGAAGTCCAGGGAGGCTTTCGGAAGGTGGTTCAGACACTTGGGAAAATGTAGGAGCCAAGTTCTCATCCTTGCTCCAGCAGAGCTCACTGATTCATAACTTTCCTTTGAAAGGAAATGGGAAATTGGAAAAACAAATTTTTACGTAGTTGTGAACGTTAATATTGACTTTGCGTGGCTTCTTCAAGAATTCCAAGGCACCAAAACAATTAAAGGACTTTAAAAAGTCACTGCTTTCCATATCAAACAAATACACACATACAGAGTCATGCTCTAGCACTGTCTCTTTTGAGAAGAAAGGAAATGTTTGAAGGTGGTAATTTTGGTATCAGTACGTTTCATAAAACAGCATTAGGGAGCAGGATGGAAGGTACTCAAATTAGCGAGTGTATTTTTAACACTTGAAATCACTGAATCACTTGACGTAGCAAATAATATTGGCATTTGAGCTGGTGTGTGTGGAGGCTGCACCTGTTTAACTCCACGCTTAGTGTCTGTCCGGTAAGGTCTTCACAACTGGCGGGGTTGTTATTATCATTATTCTTGTGAGCTGGTTTCTGTCCTTGGGAAGGAAAAGTAGATTAAGATTTGATACTCCAGAGAGCAGTGCTTGATTTACCCTGCGGGGGCAGAGCCCAGATGCCCTGACAGGGTGTAGGGGGGCACCTTGGAGGGACAGCATTTCAGAATTAGGGCAGGAGTCCTCGGTTCCAGTCCTGCCGCCTGAGCATAATGAGAACGTTACTTTATTTCTTTGAACTTGAATTTCTTTCTCTAGAAAATACCTGTAGTGTTGCTGTTGTCTGGCAGAAATCACAGATCCAACATGGGGTCGCTGTTAGTGTGCTTCTCCAATTAAAAGGGGCGTGATCTGCTGTAAATTCTTAAAAAAATTTTTTTAATTTGATTTGTAATGTCACTCAATTTAAAATATAGTCATCACAAAAATTAAATGTAAATACTAATTTTTAATTGGAACTGTAGTTTTGAACCTATGGAGGAAGTACCCACTAAAATCCCATAGGAAATGATGTAGCAAAATATTATGCATCCTCATTTATTCTTCTCGCAGATGATTATTTGCTTTTGACCTTTGGCAAAAGGATACACAGACTGTCCCGATTTTCCATGGTTCAGCTTAACAATTCTTAGCTTTCTGGTGGGTTTATCAGGGTATTAAATGCATTTTCAGTTTGATGGTATTTTTGACTCAGAAGGAATTATTGGGACATAGTTCCTAGTAAGGTGAGAAGCTTTTGTATACGGCTTTTGTTCTTGTTGGGGTTTGACTTTGTCAAGTGACACATCTTGATTAGCTTCAGGTCTAATTTGAGTAATAGCATCTCCTAATTTTTGAATGATCCAAGGATGGGGATATGATGACGATGTGGTGGGAAGAGCTCCCTGTTCTTTCTCATTTTCATATCCTAAATGCTGCATTAAAACTGTAGTATTTTACATCACCTATCATTACTTTTATTAAGTCTTAAAAGTTTTTAGATGTTTGTAAAATAATTATCTGTTTTGAGATTGTCCATTCTCAAGGGAAGCTCTTAGACGTAGTCAACATTCCAGTTAATATTGGGAAAGCATTCCTATGCTCCAGCCTTTATCCCACAGAGTTTTCTTTGAGGCACTTTCTGTGCTCGGTTTATAGTTCCTTTTAGAGGTGACATCCCAGAGCTGAATGAGTCAGCAAGTTTGGGGTGTTGGCCTTTTGCAACAGCTGTCCTTGTGAAGGTTCTGCGGGCTGGTTATCCAACCTTAGCATAAAATCTTGCAAAATACTTACAAAGAGATTTTCATCACACTACCAAAATCATGTGAGTCAGAGATGAGTGAAAAATGGAGCCATTGTGTTAAGACTTACGTGAATAGCAGCCACAGCGGAGCTGGTAGACAAAGAAACCATATTAGCAGAGCACTTCCCAAATTAAATTGTGTGGTTTTTGCATTATTTTGCTACAAATCTGTAGCTAAGGCATGGTCTTGTGAGATATTCAAGATTTCTAACATTTCCAAAGGTGGGTTCACTAAAGTTTCTTTTATAACATCGGCCCTGAGCTGGTGTCATGGTGTCCTCCTTGGAGGCCTCTTTCACCTTCTGTGCCTTAGCACAGTCTTCCTTGAGAAACACTGAACAAGTCTGGAGAAGTCACCATTTCTTAGGCCCCTCATAGGTTTAGTTGCCTAAAGCATGTTTTTGTTTTAATAAGAGCATGTAAAATTGGAAGCCTCCATAGACAGCCTTGCTGTTTCCTCAGGCATGTGCTCCGCTTCTAAGCAAAAATCACAAAATATAGCAAAATGTTTGTCCAACTGTAACAATACAGTATTCTTAAACCATCAAAACAGAAGAACCATGTTGTAGATTCTCCCTATTTTTGTTAAGGAAGTATCTATCTATCTATCTATCTAT